CAAAGAAAATAGAAAGCTCCTTTTTCTTTAACACTCAATATTTCGTCAATTTATTTGTTGACTTTTTCTTGAGTGAACTAAAATTTAATGAATACAACAGGCCAACTATATAACAGACAATTAAAACAATCGTGAGAAAAACTGACAAAATTATAGTCGACCACATAGTTACTCAAAGCAATACTTTTCAGTTAAGGTAAATGAACGAAGAGACATAATGAGCAGCAATATATACTGTAACATTTTTCAGGTAAACAACAGATAATGTAATGTTCGGCCACCAAGTAGCGTATTCGCATTGCGTTGTTGATCCACGGAATAGGTTATTTTTATGTTTTTTTGTCATTATTTGTATTGATTGTTTTTTGATTGTTTTTTTTCGCTAGCCCCGTTAGCTCAAATATATATATAAATTTTGGTTTTCTCTTATCTTTTTTTTCATAGAAAATTCAATAAGTAGGGTCCAGTCGTGTAACGAAAACCCAATACTACGCAGGGTGAATTCTGGTACATTCCGTGGCAGACCAGTGGCGCCCAATAAGCCACCCCTACTCTCTCCGGTTAACTTAATTTATTTTGATTGTCGTCGAGCTAGGGCATAAATTTGCACACACCTAGACATCCGTTATGACCTGCTCGCTGCTTTACTGGGTGATCCTTATATACTTTTTTTTATATTATCATTCCAATTTTCAAGTTTAAATTTTCGAAAAAAAAAACGTGCCAATACATTAAAGAGTTCCACACGAATTATTCAACAGATTTATATAAAAATGCCTCTCAACTGCAGTAATGGATGGTGAAGTGAAGAAAGCAACTACTGAGAGAAAGGAAGAATATGTTTTTTTCTTCAAAGATGACGGACTAGTGCGGAAAATCCTCGACACTGATTGTAAAGTTGACCACACAGTGATGACGAAACTTTTTATGCAGAAATTCATTATGCAAAAATGAAAAGCGAGAAAACTTCTTATTTAAATTAACAATTTCAATAAGTTTCTTAGAGAGGTTCTGTTTTCAAATTGTTGTTTTACGCGTTTAATATAATAATAATATCAGTGACACTCTTAGATTCTCCAAGTTATGTCGTTTAAATCTTGGGGTATTAAATTAAGATTTTCTCTGTGAGAGAGGCGTAGAAAAAATATAGTATGCAAGACGTTCGGTAAACTTTTTAACTCACTCGTTTATTAAACACTCTTTCCGCTCGCGTCAAATAAACTCGTGAGTCAAATGCCGTTTACCACACTTGTTGCATAATATACGATTCCCCATCAGATATGGCTCAACCCATCTTTTCAAAGAGTCGCGGAGATCAGTGTCAACCTGAGCACGATTGTCCTTACATCCGCCCAGGTGCTCGGTACACGCAATTAGGTAACTCTCAGTTGAACGATTTGGCTCTCACCAAATTAAAAAAGTGTTCATATACAAAATTTTTGCAAATACGCAAAGCTTACTAATTGGGCGACAATCATTAACGGTATTTTTTGAACTGTTTTTATAAACCGGAATGACATCTGACAGCCAAATAATAAAAGGAAAGGATTCGTAAAGCCGTTAGAGCATTGACTCCGTCTGAACCAGGATCAAGCGAGGATGAAGCGAGTTGAATACTTCGACTACTCCACTTTATACACATATAAGGGGTGTCATTGGTTAGTTTTGGTACTAAAACAATATGCCATGTATCATATAAATGGAATAAATAGCTGTCGCAGCACATTTATCACAGTGGCCGCCATCGCCGTCCTCTTGGGCAGGATAAAGTTACGAAAAAAAAAGCCTTTCTTATCCGAACAACAAACAATATACCGATTTTGGCAAAGTAATTTTGGTTGGTTTATCCCTGTCATCCCATTTAACTGGACTCAGTAGTTGGTTTGATCACTTCACCATCCACCGTTCGATACAATTGGCTGGCAATGTTTCCGTTTACATGCCGCGGGAGCACGATCGATGATCCATAAACACTGCCCTTAATCCCTCGCTAAATCGGGAACTTCGTGACTGCATCGACGCGCATTTTTCTTCATTAACAAGATCGCGAGGGGCCGCAAAAAAGGGCCGGCATCCGACTTTTAAATTAAAAAATGGCCGCGGGGGGTAGCCCGGGGTTTATTTAGGTCGAAGGGCCCTCTGCCCTACGGTCTCGAAAAGCTAATCCCTCGGGCGTAACGCGACGAGAATCCTTAATAATTTTAAATAGATGTCGTTAAAAAAAGGGGCCTGACGTTTCCCCATCATGGTTTTTTTGGCAGGGAGAGGGGAGTAATTAAGTGGCCGCCGAGCGTGAGCGATTAATTTCGGAGGATTCCGAAATTTTACCTCCTGTTGTTTGAGGTTAGCGTGAATGGCGGAGGGTTGAAAGGGGCGGGGGAGCCCCTGTAATTATTCAGACCGGGGGTGTTGCCTTCGTTTAAATTAACGTCTCGCATGTCTTCTCCGATTTTGATCGAATTAAAGCGAATCTGAATGTTTATAACGTTTCTCCCGAGGGGGGAGCGGGTGACAGGAGTTTGTTCAAAAAACCCTAGATATTTAATAAAAAAAATGTAAATAAAAACACCAAACAATTTTATCATTTCTGTTTCAACTTTTGTGAATAAGTAACACCGACATGCTAAACCGTGTATTTTTGAAATAGAATTTCGTCGAGAACGGTTCATTCTAGCAAGCTAACCCACAAACAAGTCATTGCAGTTTATGTTCAAATTCAGAATTCTAAAATTACCAAATTCTGCGAACCTGTTTCGGAAATATTAATAAAAAAAACATTTTCGGATCATATGGCTCGATTAGAGGTCGACATATGCCTATACAGAAAACTAGGTTTGTTGATGACTTTATTCCATGATTGGTGAAAGGTTTGGTTGCTTATAGATTTCTAAGGGATTGTCGGATTTTTATTTGGCAGAATAATAGATTACGTGCAAGAATTGTAGTTTTATCAAATAATATTTGATGTCCGGTAAACTCTTGGTAGCTGTAACGGAATTTTGTCTTTGACGAATCGAATATGTTTAGTTATTTATTTATATACAAGTCTTCCCTACAGATAGACGCAGCTGTCCAATAAAAGCACAAGATGGTACAAAAAAAAGATACTTTGTCAGTGCACTGATTTAAATTATTTTTATAAGTTAAATCAAATTAAGGACTAATTACAGCTTTTTATTGCAGCGTTTTAGTTGGTATACCATCTTAAGTGTCGGATTCAAAGCTCAGAGCAAGCCGAAATGCGTTCTCTACCCTGTTATAAAAGTACGGGTCGATTTGATATTTGAAAAGTTAGAAGAGTAGTTTGAGTGATATCTAAATACAGCGAACCCTTGCCTGTTTCGTAGAATGTAAGGATTACAGTCAAAGTATCATTTTTCCAAAACGAAAGAAGATTCAATTAAATGGTTTTCAACTTTGTGAAGAATGAATAAATCAAAATTTATTGTACGATTTTCCAAGGACTGCATAAAAATGAAGGTTTTCAATATAACCAAAAAAATGTCTCTATCTATTTAATATATAATTTATATTTAATATATAATCTATAATTTATATTTATATTATATATTATAATATATATTTTCGTTGTATACTTTCTAGCCGTTTGATATATTTAAAATAAATTTACAAAAAATACATACCAGACTGTCGTATCATATTCGAACACGGGTTTGACAAGACTATAAAAAAATATTAAAGATTATTTATTATTAAACCCATTACTCACCCCAAGATTCTTTAGAGTCTTCTGAACAATGTTTTCTACATGCATCTCAAAGAGAAGCTCCAAATCCAAATCCAATACCTGGGTCCTCTACAGAGTCCGAAAACTTCAGTTTGTAGTTACCTAGGTAGAGATCACTTTTAATTTGCAGTTGGGGTAATTTTTTTGTGAACATTTCTCTTCAAAATTTGATAAATCTCTCTGCAACAAGACGTAGCCTGCCGCGGAGTGAACCAATTTTGAAATTTTTTTATTGTCTGAGGTATCCCCATAGTTATATTTATACTTATATTTTTATATTTATAGTTATATTTGTACTCTTTGATTTTATTCCATTTACAACAACATACTGAGATCATCCGTACAAGTAACTCTTAAGGATGTCGAACAAAACACCGTGTACACCGAAATTCAGGGCAAGAGTTGGGTGGTGTATTTTATTATAAACTTTGGAGAAATCGGTGTAAACGACACAAGTCTCTAACAAAAATCCGTGCTTATTCGGGTCAATACTCCCCTTAACAATAGAGACTAATTGCTTCAAAATAAGTGACTCAAACAACTTGCCGAAGTAAATTAAGAGAGTGATCGGTAATGTAGAATATACATTACTCTTATCACCGACTTCAAAAATGGGCACGACATGAGCGATTTTCCAAAGTCCAGGATATTTACCAGTTAAGATGGATTGATTGTATAGCAAAAAGAGGGGCTCACAGAGATCGGGGCATGATTTTGAAAATAACGAAGGAAAACTGTCTGGCCCAGTTCCCTTTTGGGGATTAACAGAGCATAAAGGTTTCTTTACAATTTCTTTCGATAAATGATAAACATTAAAAAAACATTCTTGGGATGAAATTGGTTTTATTAGTGAAGGGGTGCCAGATGATTCAACGAGAGAGACTTTTGGACAATCGAGCGAGGAGGAATCCAAAAGATTTGTAAAAGGTATTACAGTAGTTTGAAAAATTTAAAATGGTATTTGCAAAAATTCGCGTACTCACGTGCAGTATGATTACGAGTGTCCTATCGGGGTTTCACCGTGAATGAGTTGTCCAAATATTGCGGGGCCAAACCGCTCGAATTGATCGTAACACTGGGTTGAGCCGCAATCGCCATAATCCTCGAGAACTTACTTAATTCAGCAAGGGAATTTAAACGATTATGTGCGAATCCCTTAGCAAATCGTTAAGCTAACCATACGCGGGGTTAATTGCGCCCAACGTTTCGGTCTATGGAGAGCTTTGTTAACGTTCGGCTTTTTTGTTTCCAGTGGTAGACTGTCAGGTTACCTCGTGGGGTCCGTGGTCGGCTTGCGATGCCGATTGTGGTCCGGGCACGATGTCGAGGTCTCGGTCCATCCAAACCCAGCCCCAAAACGGCGGACGCCACTGTCCCAGTTTAGAACAGAGACGCGGGTGTCAGGTGTCCACGTGTCACCATCACCCCGACCCGGCCATAAAAGGTAAGGGCACTTGCCGTACTCTCAGTACGAACTCAAACCGATTTTTTTCGAGGTCGAATTTAATTTTTTGCCAAAAGCCCTACAGCCTATCGTGGGTGAGTTAGAGGAACGTAAAATTCGTGCTAAAATTTGTACAGAGTCGTTCATTAAAATGTGACCATCTTCCAATTATTAACTCGTGTTTAGTTTTGCTATTTGTTAATAAGAATGTTTGCGAAGATACGGTATATTCCGAGGACATTACATTTCAAAGCAGACACCACCATTCAGTCACTAAATAGCTATTAACATTTAGTAATGGCTTGGTTCCCGTGGTTTAGGCAATAGTTTGGCAATATAGATTGTTATGTAAAATTCAGTGGCGTAGTCAGTTCTTTTCTAAGTAGTTCCATCCTTTTAAAAATATATAACTTTTGTTTGTTTTCTTAATGGAATGGATGAGCTTCTCAAAAAAATGTGGGCTTATTTGTATAAACGAACTCACAAAACTGTTTTTTTTTTAATTTTCATGAAGCTATTTGCGGTAGGCCTTAGGTTATTAAAAACCTGGATATTATAAAAAAATATAAGGAACATAAAAATTATTAAATGTTAGAATTTTTTTCAAATCTGAACATAATATTGTTATTTATAAAGCTAAAAAACTGTTCAAAATGTAGACCATTTTCTGTAACGCATAACCCACACACAAAAAAATCTAATACGTTAAATCGGGAGACCCGCAGGCCGCCTGTTAGCCCCAGTAGTACCTATACAATGATCTCCAAAATTGTCCTTTAAAAAGGGCCTTGCTTATCTAGAATTATTATTAGATAATGTGCAATTCGTGCATATAAATTCAATATATTTTCAATCTACCTCTGAAGAGTTAATGAATTCACTCAAATAGAACGTTAGAGCCGTATAAAAAGTTGTGAGTTGAATACATTTACAAATCTGAAATGTAACTGTTTAATATCCCGGCCAGCATATCTATAATTACGTACCAGTTAAGTCTACTATCTATGCACACACCAAGAAGTTTAGCGTTATGCGAGCTAATGTCGGGTGCATCCGAAAAAACACAATTTCTTATTTATTTTTCATTTAATTTAAAACGCTTCGAATGAAACCACTCTTCTGCATCAATAATCGCCTGAGTACTTTAAGATACTGCGTCACTCTAGCCCTATATAAATTAAGTATTGTTGTGTCACCTGCGGATAAAGAACCTATGTGTGATCTTATATTTGGAGGTAAATTATTTTTTTTTTAAACAAAACAAATTGTTTGTCAGAAACATCATCGTTAGATAATGTAGCGATTTTTCGTCATGTTGTTAAGGTAAGATTTAAAAAAGGTCAAACTTTGACCCCTTATAGCGAAAAATTAAAGTTTGTTTCCAAGAAAAAACAAGGTCATACAGGAAATAACCTCCAAAACCTTTTCCAGAATCGCTATAATTGCTTTCAGAGTTGATTTGCCTGAACGGTATCCAAATTGACTTTTCAAAAACTTGAATTTTATCAAAATACCATATAATTCTTGCTTTTGCCAAAGCCTCAAAGATTTTTAATAATATAGACAAGATAGCAAAAGGACGAAAATTTTATTCTGTCCAGTCCTTTCATTTTTTTCTGTATGGGAGCTATCTTTGCAAACATTGCCGCGTCAAGATATATATTGTGTTCAAAACATCTATTACAAATGGGAGTCAATACAAGTAATACATACTCAGCCACGTATTTAATAACCTTAACATTTAACCCATATACATCTTTGCTACTTGATTTATTCAAGTTTCGGATCACCCTGTACAACTCATTTGTTTCATTTGTGGGGTACAAAAAGGAGATGCAAACGATCTTAAAGGAATTCCTGATTGTTACGATTCGCGTCTGCTATTACTGCCGTGTTAATAAAAAATTCGTTGAGATCGTCAGCTGGCATTTTTATTTCGTTCGCTTCTTTTCTGCCTCCAAGTGTAAGATAATAAGCTGCCACGTGGCCTTGTTTGTATTTTTGGAATTTTCAATAAGAATTTTATTTGACTTCCTTTTGACCAACTGAACTGTAAGAGCTTATTATCCTCTGCACAGTTTTTCGATTTCTTAAATACATTTACCGCTTCAATTTTCTGCCTCATATATCGCAACTCATCATTAAAGCATTTTATTTCTGCTATATTTTTTTGTTTAATTTTTTCTATGGGAAATTACATTAAAAATTGCCAAAAAAAAAGTTCAGAGAATTTGTGAAACATTTCGCTTTTTCTTGCTACATTCCTTTTTTTATACGAGACAATAATAGACCTAAATATACCATAGTGGTCTGATAAATGGTAATTGACAATTTTTACTTTATTTTCATTATAATCTAGATTTGTTTGTTTTAGAAATGCGAGTTGCCTCAAAAATAAAAGGACTCTATGATACCTATATTAAAGGCACCATTTATGGCACATTTGGATTTAGTGTTGTCAATCCTTTGATATAAAATAGATTTTTTTTCCAACAATAAAATAACATTTTGAATTATTGGAGATCTGCAGCTGGTATTCACAATAATATCTACTTCGATCAGTTTGGCAGTAAGACACAGAGCATGAAAATTGTTTTCACTTGTGAATATTTCCATCTTACCAATTTTGTTATTGAAAAACCAAACGTTATTATACAATATACTCACTGCAGAACCTTCTGTAGATCTGGCAAAAAACAAAATATCTTGGGGCCATATACTGGCACCCAGCACATTATTTTTTAGTTTATTCTCTATATGGTTTTACACGCAAAAGTTTTCTTCGGAAACTTTAAAAAATCTTGCATATTCTGTTCAATAAAATGAGGTTCCAAACTTGCATGTGAAAATCCCACCCTTTTCCTTCGTTACCATGTTTCTATGATCTGTGGTAGGGCCCATTATTTTTGCAATTTTTCTGTTATTTACTGCACTTCCACCCTGATGTATACTCGTGCATTTTTCGAGATTGCTGGGACCGTAAAACCGCAGCGTTTACCTTTTCAATGGCAATCGTCTGCGGCAGTGTTAAATAATTGTTTTTACTATGCGTCTCGAAAAAGTTATTTAACGATAATATAATAATGTCGCTTGCGAAAAATGTGTATGAAACTTTAAAAGAAACCTGTCTACTTGCAAAAAGGCACATATCGTGGATAAGGGATATTATTAGTAGTGGTGAATTGAAGAAAAGGAATAAACGTAGTAATTTTCAATCTAACCGTAGTGATTAGGACCGAATAAGCAGGAAAATATATTGTCTTTATCAAAGCAAAGTTGTTTGAAAAAGAAGCTAGAAGAAGATGAAACCAATATAAATATAAGCCGTACCACCCTCCATAGACTTGTTTGGATCATGGAATTTAAGTAACTTCATATCATTGCATGTTTAACCCTATAGAGTACTACTTTAGGTCCCAATGTTATAAATTTGATAACAATTGTAATTAATGACATACAAATTGAGAGCTGGAAATATTCAGTACAGAAAATAAGAAAAATTGAGGTCTTTTATATTTCTATACAAAAAAACATACATTCTATTATAATTAATCTCAGTGATGACTCTGATAATGAAAAAGAATTAGATTTAGACATTTAGAATAAAAAAGTAATTATTCCTAGGTATGAGTTTATTGTATATATTTTATGTCATTGTTTTGCCTTAGTGTAATTTAATAAGATAATACCCACCTAAATAAACAAAAAACATTATATTATTACCAAAACCTTTGAGAGTCCGTCCCTAATGTTCTGTCCTTTAATACCTGCCGTCTACAACTTCCACAATTTCCAGCACGATAAAGATTAGGACCGACTATACAATTCGTCTCTGTAGGATTAACATTCGAATTTGGTAAAATTTTTCGTTTAAATATTTCAATGAAAGCCTCTAGGTTCCGCACAGAATTTTCTAGTACATTACAGAGCGTTCTTTAACCTTCCAACTCGATTTTTGTGCACTAAAGTTCATGCAACGTGTATCTTATTTCGCAATATTTCACAAGAAGCATAGTAAAAATCACCATTATCCTCCCTTTCCGCAATCTTTCGCAGAATTTCACAAAATACTACTTGATTTGGATTTTTTTGTTATTAATATTATTATTATTATTTTAATTTGAGACTAAGATTGAGACTACTGCGGTTTGTTGTATTGGCCTGCAGAGTCTACCTTTCCTACATTAATCTACAACATTTTTAGAAAACTACGGACCACATCATCTTCTATCGCGATTGAAGCTATGTTTACTACGAACTACAACTACTAACTACGAACTACCAAAGTTCTTTCTGCCATACAGGTGCAAAATTGGCTGCAGATCAGTATATCGGTATTTCTGCGAAGTAATAAATACCCACCGAAAGGGGGTGAAAAAGTTCACCTTTTTCATAGGAACCGATAAGAAATGATGTAAAAGCTAAACGCAGGTGACCCGTACGTAATCCGAAACGCGAATGGATATATATTCGATTCTTCTTCGGCTCTTTTATTTTCACCGTTCCCGGGTCTACTTTAAAACGTCGGGCCTGCGAAGGTCGAAGTTTCCTTTGACCGATTAACCGTTTTTCGATCCGGGCGCTTTCAATACGTAACATTCCAGATATCGCCCGAACCGAACTATAATGGGAGCGAAGGATCCGGTGGACCTTTTTCTAGATGGTTTACCCCAAAGAGTGCTTCTAATAAGAATCCGAACGCTGTTTAAAAAAAGAAACATTGACACAATACTCTTTCGAAAGCTTTCGGTTATACAGAATATTCGAAGGCAGTCGACAGAAACAGTCCATAAGTAAAGATTGGAAAAAATTCAAGTGTACAACCCCACTGTATAAATAAAATTTTCACACTATATGTATCGAAATGAACAAAAAATAGCTTCTCTAAATACGGACCACTGTAAGGATATATACCACTTCTTCAAAAATCTCTCATCCTCATCTTCCGGCAAAGACATAATTCCATGTGAAATACCAGGAGTTTTCAAATAGTAATGATA